TAGTAGAGACGGGGTCTCACTCTTGCTCAGGCTGGGTTCGAACTCCTGAGCTCAAACAATCCACCCGCCTCGGCCTCCCAGAGTGCTAGGATTACTGGCGTGAGCCACTGTGCCCGGCCACTCTTCCCTATATTGATTTGCCCGAACTTAGTAGCTAAAATGAAAAAATATGGATGGAAAAATAAATTTTTTAAAAATTTAAACTTTATCTTATTTTTAAAAAATCTTTTCCTAGATCCCCTAGATCTACTAATTTCCCTTCATCCTGATCCACACTAGCAACTTCTCTTCTGGACCTAATAGCAACTGGTGCTGCTGTACCATACCAACCTCACACCCCTCGTGTCACTCTGAGACACTCACTAGGCCAGGGTTCTTCCACTGGATCTAGACATTTATTCAGCCTTGACAACAACAGCCATCACTTCCTTCTCCTACCCAGCCTACATTCTGTGGTCTTCCTCCCACAGAGAGGCCATCAACTCCCCTAGCTTCCTGCCCACCCACCTACTTCCTGCCCTAAAAGCACTGTGTGGCAGGGATCCCTTCCTCTTATCCCACCCTCAAAGGTCCCCTTCCTGATTCAACAGATACCCCCTTCCTTTAGGCGTCCAACTCTTCTGTTGGATTTCACCACAGCATTTAAATAAGCCCAAGACTAACCCATCTGTTTTTTAAACGCCTCTCCTAGATCTTCCTCCCTCTGAGGCATTCCATTTACCCCTTTTCTTCCCTTCACAGACAAGTTGTTCAACAAAACAGTCAACAGTCACTGTGTATACGTCTCACCTTACATTATTTCTCAGCCTCCTGCAATCTGGACTATTCCTCTATGACTAGAGAGTAATAAATGTTCTCTTTGTTGCTAAATCTGAAGGACTCTGCAGTACTTATTTTACTCGGTCACTCCGTAGCAACTGTTAACTAGCTCAGAGGTCACAAATCTCCCTTGTTTTCTTCCTATTTCCCTGACATGCTGTCATAGTCCCTTTTAGACTTCTCCCTCCATCTGGCCTCAGGCTGTGTGCTCATTCCTATGACACGTGCACCCTACAAAAGTTTACCCCTCCTAGAGCGTCCCACCGGCTCTCTGCATTGCTCCCACAGACATATCCAACTGGACGTGGCCCCAACTTACTTCACACTCTTCCTCCCGAATCCTGTTCCTCCACTTCTATTCCCAGCCTTAGCAAAAGGCACCATGCACCACGGCCCACACCAGATACCCGGAAGTAAGGACAATTTCATCTGTCTTCCCAGACAATCCTCGAGTTCCTGGTAGTTCATCAAACCTACTTCTTTATCCTCACTGCTACGTCCACAGCCTTGGGTTAATCCCTCCTCTGGCTTTCTGCAATAGTCTCTGAACTAACATCTTGTCTCTTCCCAACAACTCGCCACAATGCCACTAAAGAGATTTTCCTCAGACACAAATGTGATTCCATCACCTCTTCCAGAAGATTCTTCAAAAAACCCCAATTCCTCAGCATGACATGCCAGGCTTCTCAAAATCTGAACAGTCTGACAGTTGCTTACTTCTCTAGTTCATTTGAGGCCACTTCTCCCTGATGTGCTGCTATTATGCAGTCAAAATTAAGTATTCAAAAGCTCTAAGTATGCGCCACGGTCTCCTTCCACCTCTGTGTCTCTACACATGGGCTTCCTCTGCCTAGAACATCCTAATATCACCTAACTGACTCCCAGCGTTCTCAAGGACCTAGCTTGGATGGCCCCTCCTCAAGAAGACTTTCCTTAACTCTCACCCTTACCCCCCATGACTTAAAGGGTACTCAGAGGTGCTCTGATACATTCCTTTCATCAAGAAACCACCTGAAATGCAATTATATTGTCTGCTCCTTTCTCTGCTTCCTCCACCTTGAGGCCAAGGGCTATAACTTATTCATCTTATCTTCCCCAATGTACAAACTCAGTGGCTGGCACGCAAATGTCTGTTAAAAATGATATCTGACTTGGAATAGACAAAATCATAGAGACAGACAACAGAATGGTGGTTGCCAGGCATTAGGGAGAGGGAGAGATGGGCAGTTATTTTTTAATGGGTATAGAGTTTCAGTTTTACAAGATGAAGAGCATTATGGAAACAGATGGTAGTGATGGATACATAACATTATCAGTGTATTTAATTCCACTAAAGTATACATTTAAAATAGTTAAGATGATAAATTTTATATGTATTTTACCACACCAAAAAATAACAATAATTTGTTTAAAATGAACAGCTGATGATACATACATAAGAGAACATCTGGCGTATTTGTTTTGTATGAACAAATACTGCCCTCTTCTGGTCAAGTATGTTACCACACCAAGAATACATGGAACCAGTTTTCCAGGGAATGAAATAAAGCTAATACTCGAACCAACTTAACACAATGCTGATAGTTAAAACTACATACCACCACTACGTAAGGCGTTTGTAACAAAGGAGGGACCAGATACCTCAAATCAGCCACAAAAATTAACATTCAAGCAATTAACGGAAGTTACTTCAGAAAGAATTTAATGTTGAAATAATCCTTTTTAATAGGTGTATAACATTAGTCAATGAATATAAAAAATACCATTCAGACCTCTTTCAAATGGCCTGACCATTTTGAACTGGCAATATTTTCAGTTTCTTTTAAAATGTTTCTTACAGACAAAAAGATTCCTGAAACTAAAATGGCTTTGGGAAACTTACCAATGTCATAGGCCATGAAATCTGAAGAGAAGCATTTGGCGCCATGGCTCATGGATGTGTCATTATGTGTGTTTCCTCCAAACACCAGCATGTTTCCACTCACTATTACAGCTGTGTGCAAGTAACGGAAAAATCGGCTGTCCTTAAGAATGGTCCTTTTGAGTTTATTTAGAAATAATAAATACAAGGTTAGTTTTTAAAGAATATTTATCTACCTACTAATGCAAACATAACCATTTTATTAACTTCAGACACAATGTGCAAATATTTCCAGATTTTTCCCCATATATAACTTTCTCAGCAAAAAATATGTAAAATTTTAAAGACCTATAAGAATTCTGACAAAATATATTAAGAGCCTTAAAATCTTCATACTCCATGGCCCTGTAATTCCAGTTTCTGGGCAGAAATCATGTAAACATATAGACAACGCTTATGCACAATGCTTTCTCAAAAAGACAAAAGCTAGAAACCAAAACTTCAACCACATAGGCTCAGTATACCCACACAATGGAGTATCACACAGCCACCAAAAATGATGATTTTTATGACAGGCAGAATATAAAACAGTGTCCATAGCATGGTATCAAATATTTCAGGAAACACAAAAAGAAGGAAGAGAAACTATTGCTTTTTAATTACATTATTTCATAACTCAAATTTGCTTTACATTTGTTAAAATTAGCATATTTTTTATAGGCTGATATGTAGTTCAGAGTGAGAACATCCTGTTTGATGATTTCAATGGAATGATGCCAGTAACTGATCCCAAAGATGTCATATTTTGGTGATCAAGAAAAGGTTGAAAAAATGGATATATTCTACTTAGTTACAAAAGTGTACACAAACTATGTACAAGCTATATAATTTATTCCTCAGGGTTTCTGAAGAGCTAAAATTTTATAGTAGTGCTCAGGGTATGAAAATTGAAAACCAGTCAAAAAATGCCAAACATTTTCTAACCAATCTACTACAGAATTATAGATTAATGCAATAAAATAAATATTGGCTACTCTACTAACCTCTGCTTATTTCCCAATATCTCTATGTACAATACTGAACATAATTATATTCCAGGCCTGAAAACAAAAATATAGCACAATATTTTCCCAACAATTGCTTCTACAGAATTCACACTTTAAAGTGAAAGCTCAAGAAAAAGGACCCACCACATCTGAGTGTCCACATCATATCTGTAGAGATCATCTGCAAGCCGGTATTTATTGGCGCTGAAAGCCTTGTAGCCACCATGAACGTACAGGGCCCTGGTCTTGTGGTCATAAACACTGCTGTGGCCATAGCCCCCTTGCACAAGGGCACCCTGGGTCTGCAATATACTCCATGAGTTCTTATCTGGCAAGGGAAAAACCGTTAAAAGCAAACATGGCAGACTCCTCTAATACTTAAAATGTCCAGACTGCTTAGGGGACAAGTAGGGATTTCAGGAGACCTGACAAATATAAATTTTTTTATCTTTTTGTTTTTAAAATAAGGCCACCTAAAACTTATAACAAAGCCATGTGGCCAAACTCCAATCTGTTAAAGGTTCTGATGTTCTAATATGCCATGTAGGAAAAGAAATTACACTAAATTTAAAAGACTGAGATTCATTAAGCAAACATTCAGCTCCTATGACCTTTAGTGACCAATATACTGATGTATTTTATAGGTCTACTTTCTTTCACAAAGTATCAATTATAAATATTCCTGCTGCACAATAACAGATATGATAAAATTTAACTAAAGGAAAGATTATATACTAAGGGAAATCACACTCCATTAAACCAGCTTCTAAAGGGCTATCGAAATTTTTTCTTCAGAATATTTGTTGTTTTGTAACATTTTTAAAAGTTTATTTTATTTTTAACACCCAAAGCATTTTGTGCCATTTTTGGCTCCTTGACAAATTGACAGTAACAAATATATCCTACATAGCAGCACCAATAATCTGAATTTCACTGGTAATACATCAAAGTTAACTGCATTTCAACATAAAGTACTGGATCAAGGTTAGGTTGGATCTTGTTAAACAGTAATAATAATAGGGTAGAGGATTTAAATTTGATTCAAAAAACATCGACTAGAAAAAAAATATACCTACCCAAGTCATATTCCTGCACATTGCTTATATATCCATAGAGAGGGCAGTGACCAAAGATGACCAGCATGACCACTCGGCCAGTGTTCAGTGTGACGATGTGTGCCGAGTGCCCAACCACTGCATACTGCTCCTTTGCCTTAGGGGTCAACAATACCCATGATTCATTATGAATATGGAATACTCTCAACTCATTGGTCACATTCCCTGTTGAATCAATTTTTCCTCCATACATGTAAATTTTGTCCTAGGGAAAAAATGTAAATAAAATTTTTAAAAACACTGTAAAGGTCAAATCTGAGAATAGAAAAGGAACACTTCAAAAGCTCAATAATTATTCTCAGCTTAAAAAGGGTTAGTGAAATGCACCTTTCAGCGAATTATTATAAAAAGGATGGAGAAAAGAACAACAGGAAAGAAAATTAATCATATTCTATATCTCTAACACTTCGCTACTTTTCTTGAACTTCCTCATATGACTCTTACGGTATGAAATGACTTGGAAAAATAAAGTTGCCTCATCCTACTATTTATCTACAAAAACAAGGAAATGAAAATGATTATTCAGTCACATTACAATGTGGCTATTCTTGGCTAAACTTGCTCATGAGCATAAAAGCGAATCTACGCTTTTCAATCTACATTTTCAATCATTTTAGTGTCATAATCATAATACTCCAGTATAATTTGAAGCCATTAAAACCTCTTGGGTTAAAAAAGTTTCATCCCCCACCAATAGAAAGTTTTCCCCAATTAAAATGCAACACTGTATAGCTTTTCAACTACATGATACAAAAAGAGTTTAGTTTCTTCCTTAGTACAGAGCGGAGATATTTTACCTTGTATAATGCCAAAGAATGACCATATCTAACAACCACATTGTTCACAGAACGATTTAGTGCAAGCCACTCCCTAGAAGCAAGGTCATACCTACAAAACAAACAGATCATATTTTCATCCAAACGACAAAACAGAACATCTCATACTCTTTTATTTGTGATATGATCCAGTTTGAAGACACTCATTAAGTAGGGAAGCACCTGTCACCTTCGTAAACAAATCTGACACCTGGGCCCACTGGGTATGTGAGAAGTTATGAAGGGAAGCTGGACTATATGATCCTGGGATAAGAAAGAAAGAAAAATCTACAGGAAGTTTCTAACACTCCTGAAAACCTCTTCTACACATAGCCTAAATCATTTGAAGGTTGTATTAACGCAAGAGATTTAAACTCTTTTGTTTTGTTTTGTTTTGTTTAAAGAGACAGTGCTTGCTCTGTCAAGGAAATGCAATGACTCAGTCATAGCTCAGTGTAACCCTGAACTCCTGGGCTCAAGTAATCCACCTGCCTCAGCTTCCCATGTAGGCAGGACTAGAGGCATGGCACTACCATGCCCGGCTAATTTTTTTTTTTTTTGTAGAGATGGGGTCTCGGTATGTTGCCCAGGCTAGTCTTGAACTCCTGGCCTCAAGAGATCCTTCCACCTCGGCCTCCCAAAATGCTGGGATTACAGGTGTGAGCCACCATGTCTCACCTGACTTAAACTTTTATTACAACAACTTTTCTATCATTTAATCAAAAGAAACTGATAGGTGCTGAAAAAGGGATGATAATTCTTATTACTGCATTTTTCTTTATAAACTATTGCTTTATTATATATGATTATTCTTTTAGTGATTACCCTAGATATTGTAACTTGCATCCTTGATTTATCAAAGCCTAATATAAATTAGTACTTGTACCATTTCCTGGGCAATTAAGGGAACTTAAACTCCATTTCTCTCATCCACCTTTACCACCTGCTTTTTGTGCTCTGTTGGTATGCATTTTAATTCTATATTCTAAGTCCTGCAAGATATTATTGTAATTATTTTATAAAACTAACATTCAGTTAAGTTTACCCACATTTTATTCTTTCCACTGCTCTCCACTCCTACTTACATCTCTCTATTTCCTTCTGTGATCATTTTCCTTCTGCTTAAAAAACTCCCTTTACTGCAAGGCTGCTGGTGACTAACTCCCTCTATTTTTATTCATGTGAAAATATCTTTATTTCTTCTTCATTTCTGAAGTAGATTTTCTTACTGGATATAGAACATGAGTTGGGAACTACAGCCTGTGGGCCAGCAGCCTGTTTTTGTAAAAAAGATTTTATTGCAACACAGCCATGCCCATTCACTTGTGATTGTCTATGGCAGATTTCATGCAAGAATGGCAGGATAGCTTATATGGCCTACAAGTCTAAGATATTTACTGCCTGGCCCTTTAAGGAAAAGTCTGTCAACTCTTGGTAAACAATTCTATGTTGGCACTGATTTTCTTCTCAGCACTTTGAAAGTGTCATTCCATTGGTTTGGTTTCCATTGTTTTTATTACGAAGAAAGCTTTCAATCTTATTCTTGTTTGTTTAAAGACAGTATGTCTCAATCCACTGCTTGATTTAAGATTTTTATCAAAAAAGGGATGATAATTAAATAAAATTACTAACCTCTCCTTTCCTTTATCTAATTGATTAAAAATGTCACAATTTCAAGAAAGCCAGAATACCTTTACAGCAATTCAATTGTACTATGAATACATTTCAAGATCTTTAAAATACATAGTGTTACAGCTCTTTTAGAATTTGTCTAGCAGGTTTTCCGGTCCTTACCGGAAGACCCCCCCCCCCAAAAAGAAAAACGGAAGAAGAAGAAGAAAAAAGACCTTTAAAATACAAAAATGTCAAAAAGAAAATAATTTATATTCCTACCATGCAATTTATACTTATTCATGCATTACTGAATAATCACATTCAATATCTTAAAATATTCACTTTTAGTTTCTGTTTTTGAGAAAAACATCACTCTACTGTTTTTTATAAAAATAACAAAGCTCATTATAAAGAATGTCGGCGATACAAAAAAAAAGACCTAAAAGTTTATTCCGTTATCTAGAAATGAATATCCTTAACATTAAGTAAATGTCAATCCAGACATCTCTCTAGGTATATACACAGAATAGACAAAATATATTTATACAAAGGGATCATACTATAAATGATACTTTTAATAATGTTTATTTTAATTTTCATAAAAATCAATAGAAAAAAAGAAACCAAAGGGAAACCAAAACTATTGCTAAAGTTTAAATGTTTGTCTCTTTTCTGTAAACGAAGAAGTTTAAAGTTTAACTTTGTGTAAAAAAGTTTACCTGGATAATTCAAGTATTTTAAAAATTACAAAAACATTACAAAGAAGCCAAAGATGTACGAAAGCTTGCTCACAATAGCAAAAAGGAAGCAAATAAATGTCAATCAGTTGAAAATGGATTAATAAATCTTAATATATCCATATAACAGAATTACACAGCATGAAAGATATAATCCAGCAACATACATCAATATAATCTCAAAACAATGTTAAGCTAAAAAAGCAAACTACAGAATATCATTTCTGTAAAGACTAGATCATATATATTTAAAGTATGAAGATACATATGTGAAAAACTGACATCAAAATCAGGATACAGTTTATCTCCGGGATTTTGGAGGGGCATGCAAGGGTCTTCAACTGTATTAGCAATGTTTTATTTCCTAATTTGGGTGGTGAATGAATTGATATTCATTATTTTTCTACAAACCTTTCCTTCTGTCTTAATTTTTTTTCCTTTTTTTTTTTGAGACAGTGTCACTCTGTCACCTGGGCTGGAATGCAGTGGCATCATCATAGCTCACTGCAACCTCAAATTCCTGGGCTCAAGCGATCCTTCTGCCTAAGCCTCCTGAGTAGCTGGGACTACAGGCATGCGCCACAATGCCCACCTAATTTTTTCTATTTTTTTAGTAGAGAGGGGGTCTTGCTTGCTCTTGCTCAGAGTTGATCTCGAACTCCCGACCTCAAGCAATCCTCACACCTCGGCCTCCTAGAGTGCTAGCATTACAAGTGTGAGCCACTGTGCCCAGCCTGTCTTAAATATTTTATACATGATCTGAAGCAAATATAACAAAATGGTAACATCTATGAAATATGAATAGCACACAAATTGGTTCTAGCTATTATTTTACATATTTTTGGAATGTTCCACACACTTTTAAAAACACATGAAAAATTATTTAGAGGTTGAATTCATTTTAGTTTTAAAGTTATACACAATTTAATTTTGGACAGAATCTACTAACTCCTTGCTTTAAAAGCTGAAAAAACCTTAGCACTCAAATTTCTTCCCATTTCTTCTCCCAATTTTTTTTCGTGGGTCAGGGTAGAATCTCGCTCTTGCCTGGGCTAGAGTGCCGTGGCGTCAGCCTAGCTCACAGCAACCTCAAACTCCTGGGCTCAAGCGATTCTCCTGCCTCAGCCTCCTGAGTAGCCGACACTACAGGTATACATCGGCGCCTGGCTAATTTTTATATTTTTAGTAGAGACAGGATCTCATTCTTGCTCAGGCTGGTCTTGATTGAACTCCTGAGCTCAAGCAATCCTCCCCCCTTGGCCTCCCAGAGTGTTGGGATAACAAGTGTGAGCCACTGCGCCCTGCCTTCTCCCAATTTTTGTTACATAATTTTTACATTGTCCAAGTTCTTAACCCTCACATTACATTCGAAAACGACAATTCCATAGTTATTTAGTACTGGCTGGCTTTCACTGTCAAGAGGGTCTCTTTTTTTTTTTTTAAGAAGAGCTCATACTCCTTTCCTTGAGTTCATTCATGTTTAAGAATATCTGCTTGCTAGCTTTATAGCTGAATGACATCTTGGCAGGGTATACTATTCTTGGGCTGTCCCTTCTTCAGAACTTTGCAGATGCAGCTCCCTTGAATGTTGCTGGATTGGATGTTGCTACAGAGAAGTCTGAGGCCAGGTGATTTTTGTCCCCTTTTTATGTGGTTTGCTTTTCTGCCTAGAAGTTTGAAGATTTCTCAATCATTCTCAGTCTCTCTCCCTCTCCCCACCTGCCCTCTTCCTCTCACTATGCTTTTAAGACCCAATACTGTACTTTACTTAAAGCAGAAATGACTTAAATCCATCCAGGATAACCGTTTCTACAAAATGGACTACATAGAACTGCAACACTTTTATGGAATCCTGGCTACGAAAGGTGTTAGCTTTAGCTTATAACCACACATACACACCTTATGTTTAACCAGAGGCTTGTTTCTGTAAGTTTGAAAAGAAGAAAGAAACAGAGGGAGCACAGAAACAAGTCTCCAGATGTCCCAATCCACATCTCTTTCAAGTGAAATGGAGGAGGCTCAGCCCAAGGGCTTCTCGGAGACACTTAAGTGCTGGCAGATCCCCATAACCTAGCTAAAGGGAAATGCCAAAAGACACACAACAGGCTGTCAAACGTTTCACAACACAGGGAAACAAACACAAGACAAGAACAATACTGATGCAATAAAACATAAGAAATTCCAAGTACTAATTAATGCTCTTTCTTCTGGGAGCTGAGTCCAAGGTAACAGAATACTAAACAAGTAGTTCTAAGACATGGACAAGCAGATAAGCAAAGACAAACTGTAGAAATTCAAAAAACAGACGTCTCCCATAGAGCTACAGCCATCTCCCTCACAAACCCCTCCACGATGGCTGGCAACCCAATAACCACCATGCCACAGCGCACCTGCTCCAAACTTCAGAGTGGCCTGGGAACCCAATCACAGTATCTGGCCACCCCAAAGAGCAAGGCAAAGGCTCTGTGGAGACTGGACATGACTCCAACCAGCAGGAAACATAGAGCTGCCTGAGGCCTCCCAAGTAATAATTTGTCCTTTAACCTAAAAGTTTGATAACTTGATCAAATTAGGTTTTGTCATTAAGAAAGTATAAAATTTTCCTAAAACACCTTGTGCTGTTTCAATTCATTTGTTCTCTATGTTAGGTTCTTTAGCAACAGCAATTGTATCAGAGCATCTTCTGTCTTTCATCTGTTTTTGCTTTTCTCTCATTTTTTTC